GCCACCAACACCTGGAGTAAATAAACCATTTTCTAAAAGAATGTGAGTACTGCTGTTTTGAGGTGGTATGTTTCATGTCAGATCCTGTGGTTTCACGATGTTGAGTTTCTCTGCCTGTTATTTTGCCGAAGTCTGTCAGTTGTGGAAAGTGAAGTGTTTGCATTGCCAATGAATGTATTTTTTCATTTCCATCAGTTTTTGCTTCTTCAGTTCTAGTTCCATAGCTATATGCATACACATTTAATAAGGTAGCTATGCCTTTTGATGGATTGACTTGTAACACTGTCACTTTTGCTTTTTGCTTTCCTTTGAGGACAAGTTTTAAGTGATGCTAATGTACTTTGCTCTCTCTCTGATTAATCTGTGCATAGTGAGTAGTTTCATCTTTTTATCTTTCAGCTTAATGTATGTTACATTTGAAGTGAATTTCTTTTTTCTTTGGTTAATAAACCCAACGTCTAGGCTTCCTTGAGGATGCTTTCTGTTCATTTGTTCTTCTGAATTAAGGCATGTTTTATGTGCCTTTGTCTATTTTGTGAATTTTAAAATAAAAAATTAGCCATTTGTTCCAGTGTGTTAACCTTGGAAATCAAATTAGATTTTCATTTTCCAGTGTTGTTTGGTTTTTTTTTTTTTGAGACAAGATCAGTTTCTTGCATGTGTCGAAGACTGACTTTGAACTTGCTTTGTACATAACGATCTTGAACTTCAATCCTTTTTCTCTACAGACTTGAGCCACGGTGCTGGTTTTTCAGTGCTCAGAATCAAACCTAGAGCTTCCTGCATGCCATACAAGCACTCTACCTCTTTGTTAGTGATTGCTGACAAATGTTTATCTCCAGCTGTTTGGATGGAAATTTCTTTTTAACATTAGAAGTACAAACACCAAAAGCACACAAAAGCGTAACAAAAAAGAAGACTACTTCTTACGGTCTATGCTGTTCTGTGGTGGCACATTCTTTAATGACTCAGCTAGCTAGGCTTGCCTTATGTTGAAAGTTTAAGGCCTATTGGGTTTATTGTTTATTTGTTTGTTTTTAAACGTGATTTTTTTTTTTTTTTTTGCCTTGGCATGCAAGTGATTTTCTAAATACTGTCACATACATGGCTGCTTTTGAGAATACAAATACCCCAAATGGTCTCACTGGGCCTATTACTGTGTTGTATTAGAAATCTCTCATATGCCCACCATATCTCGTCTTGGTTCTCAGTAGAGCTTGTAGTAGCCTACCTTACACCAAAATTTTATGAGTAGCACTGCTGCCTACTTGTCTGCAGTCTCAATTATTTGAAGCAGATAAAGCCATTGGTTCACTAGTTATCTCTCATATAGATAGAAATGGACATAAACAGTAGACCCTTACTCTGTGCTGTCTTGGGGGTCAAGGTATGTGGGAATGGGACTCATTCTACCAGTTGCCCAAGACAGAAGACTGTCCTTGCCCGGGGATGGGTAGGAAAAGCAAGAAAAGAAGCTCCTTCCTACTCTTTTGATGAAATTTTTTTATTTGCCCATAAGCCTTAGTTTTCTGTAACACCTACAAAATTATTTGGACTACTGTCCAGTTAGTAAGGTGTGCGTGCGTGCGTGTGTTTAATGGCTTATTGATAATATTTATGGGGAGAGGAGAACCTAGAGTTTGCCAACTTGAACACAACATGTTTTCCAGGGTAAGGTGACGTGTACCTGTGGTCCCAGTGTTTGGGAAGATGAGGCAGTAGGATAAATAAGTTCAAGACCAGTTTGGCCTATATAGTAAGATCTAAAAAACAGCAAACTTAACAAAACCGGGAAATACTTGTATAAATATAGAATTCATTATATTTTTTCTGAAATATATATAGTTCAATAAGTCATTCAAACATGTACAACTGTCTGCAGTGTCATTTAATTCCAAATGATTTGGCTTCTTTTTCACTTGTTTGGTAGGTCCAAACTTGAGTGCCTTTTGTGTTGTGTTTTATATGTTAAGTTCCTTGTAGGTGTTTCCTCAGTCTTCTCAAGGGTCTCCTATCTTTATTACTGTCTGTGTTTTCAATGAATATTTCGCCTTGCTTACCTCTCAGGTGCCATTGTTTCCCAAGGCTTTACTCTTCATTCCTTTTCATTCTTTATTTACTCTTATTGGATAACTGCCTCCAAACCTCAAAAGAAAATTCTTTTTAATATTTGTTAGCTGCCATTTTGTTATTTATAACTTAAGCTCCTTGGGGAACTTTAATTTAGTATGTCCAAAACATCTTTTCCAGTTTTTGTTAATGAAGTCACCATTCTTGTAAGCTAGGCACACATTATCATTCTCAGCTCATCTTGCCCCTTGTAGTTAATCAAGTTCTTTTGCTTCTTTTCTCCACTCAGTTTTAATATTTATTTTAGTCTATTATCTGATTGTGCCTGTATTTTTACATCACAATATCCTCCTAATTGCTCCTTTTCTACCTGTGTGTTCTAGTGCTGATCATCATCTTATTTTATTGTAAGACTTCAACAAATTAAAGAAGTCATATGCCACTGTCCTCCTTCCTTTTAAACTCTTGTTCCCAAATGGGAATTGGAAGATAAACACTTAAATTTCTAGTCTGGTGTGTCATACTTTACTGTTCCCTAACCCATTTTTACAGTATTGCCTCCTCCAAATCCGTCTTAACCCTTTCCAGTCAGGAGCACTCTTCTCTAACTCCTTGCTTTTCTGCCTTGCTTTCCCGTCTTCATCTTACTCCTACTAGATCTTACCTTTATGAGTCAGCTCTCATATTTCCCTGCCTTTAAAGCCCTCCAAATTAGATAGTCCTTTCTGTTTATGTAGTCCTTACTTAAAATAGTTGGTAGATATCTTATATACTTTTTTGCTCTACTTCTGAATTCTTGAGAGACAAGAAGTTTTGTTGGTTTTTTCTTCTACAGTTTCTCTACACAAGAAAACTTAAATAATTATAACGGGACCTTTAAGAAATTCAAATTTCATATTTTTATTCATAAATTTAAAATTTTTATTTATGGGTATGTGCAGCATGTGTGTACTGATTTCTTCAGAGGCCAAAAAAGGCTATCAGGACCCCAGAAACTAGAGTAACAGACCCGATATGGGTGCTGGGAATCGAAAACCGGTCTTCCGGAAGAGCAGCAGTTGTTCCTAACCACTGAGATTTCTGCAGTTCCATAGTCTTCATTTTATAGAACTTTGGAGGATTTCTTGTCCTACTTTATGGTTGAATATTCATTCATATTGCTTGTATTGTACAGCTTTTCTACTGTATCAAAGTAGAAGCCTGAACCCCTCTTCTTTGCTATAGTGTTTTAACTTCCCTTAGCCTTAGTTGGTGTATGCTTTGATTACAATAGAATATCTTTCCATTAATTTTATTTCTTTGACTTAAAAAGACTTGAGTTTTGCCTGTAGGTGGCACTGAAAAACATAGATCATTCCATCTTACTATAGAATGAAAATATTTGATGGTAGGTCCAAACAGCTAGTGGCCAGATGCAGCTTGTAGGGGTGACCAGATTTTCATTAATAATTACCCTACCAAACTCAATGGTCAAACAAAAAGCAGTTGGAATTGCTGCATTATGGAAGATTTTAACATCATGACCTGAGTTGGCTCTTAAGATTTTATCACTATACTACCAAAATGTATAGTTTGTCATTCCTAGCAATAGGGAGACAAACTACAAATATAATTAAAGAAAAGTAGGACTGTTCAGGGCTTCACATGCTTATCCTAGTTTCACAAATCTGATACAAGTTAGATATAAAAATAGCTGCTAGTTCTCATTTTACAGTTGAGAAAACACAGGCTTAAAGAGGTTATGTGATTTGTCTTCTTAATAGCATGTAAGTACAAGTGTGTTTTTCTTTGGAATGTAATTTGTTTGGTTTTTTTTTTTTAAAGCTTGAAAATACTGTGGCCGGGCATTAGTGGCGCACACCTTTAATCCCAGCACTTGGGATGCAGAGACAGGTGGATGTCTGTGAGTTTGAGGCCAACCTGGTCTACAGAGCGAGTGCCAAGATAGGCTCCAAAGCTACACAGAGAAACTCTGTCTGGAAAAACAAAAAAGGGAAGGGAAGGGAAGGGAAGAAGAAGGGAAGGGAAGGGAAGGGAAGAAGAAGGGAAGGGAAGAAGGGAAGGAAGGAAGGAAGGAAGGAAGGAAGGAAGGAAGGGGAAATACTGTGACCTATCTGGAATTCATTGCTTTATTTGGATGATCCAAAATCTCTGTTCTCTCTATAGAGAACAATTAGTGCTATTACATAATCAGTACATAAAACCACATCGACAGAAGCACAACTCTTTAATGAAGACACTTTAGGGTTACCTGAAGGTGCTCTCTGCTATATCATACAGCAAGACATGGTCTCATTATCATTACAGACTTTCCCTTGGTCGTATGGATTGTTACACCTTCACATTGCCCAGCTCTTGCTTACATACTTAAATGTCTGGTTTTGAAAGGCAAAGGGCTCCTATTTGTCTTTTCTTGTTTGTTGTCCTGGAAGGTGCTTTAAAGAGAGAAAATGAGCCCTGTGAACACCTGTATGTTTTTATAATTAAATACACGTACAACTTGATTATGTGATTATGTGTGACTTTATTTCTAATTTTATGATTCATTAATTATTATTTAGCCATTACTCTGTAAAACATTTATAGTCACAAATGTAGTTTTTTGCTGAACACCTGTGATAAGTTTAGTAGTAAAATAAAATGGGATGTAAAATTTCGTGTCCTTGTAAATATACTTGTAAATATACTCATGAGTCATAATCGGATGCAGTCAATTTGGTGACTTTCCTACTTCACTGCTGGAAGCTTTAGAAACTTTAAAAACAGTGTACATGAAATAAAACATAATGGAACTTTTATCTTCCCTGTTGCTTATGTAGCCTTGTAAAGGATGTCAAATGAACACAAGATGAATTGAAGAAAGGACATTAAATATTAAAACCAGAAAATACTCTGATGTGCTAACACTACCTGTTTGTTTGTTCCTTTAGGATGGATTAGATGCTTTGGTTTATGATTTGGATTTTCCTGCCTTAAGAAAAAACAAAAATATTGACAACTTTCTAAGCAGATGTAAGTACTTTCTGTAGAGTTCAATGTTACTGTGCATGTAACTGAGTATCAGATTATTCAAGCCTGCTTCCCTTTTGTTGAATTTTTACTGTTTCGTTAGTTAATTCTATGTAATACTATTATAAAGAATGACACTACCTGCTGCACTAAAACAAGACACCTTGTGAGTGAAATTTTAAAAGCTAATTTCAGTACCTATCAAAAAAATCCACAAAGTAATTTGTGGAAAGGAGGATGAAAAGTAAATAAGTAAGTGTATATTTTAAAATGCATGTATGTGCATCTTCAAGTTTTAATATTATATTTGATCACTATCTTTGTTTATAAGAGAATTAGTTACTACATTTTGAAACCCACAGATAAAAATTGATTACATATGACAACCCATCATAAAAGGGTTTTCTTCATGACAGCTGGTTTATATGTGCTAACAGATGTTCTTTTCTAAAACTTTATTTTAAATTTTGAAGTTACTTAAAACTGTATAGTTAAAATAGTTTGAAATTTAAAAAATTAGCAGTAAGAAATAGATTATAAAATCCTTCCCACCCCATTTATTTGTTTCATTTAATATAGTCATACAAAATAGTTGTATTTTTTTCTTTCTTGCAATTTCTTTTTATCATTTCTACACAGAAGAGTTTTAATTGCCTATTTTGATTTTTTTTCTTAAAAATAAATCAGTTTTAGTTTTAGTACCAAATTCTGTGTTTGGGAACCTTTTTTTCTAGTGATGAAAAATGAGCCAAGTATTTTACCATTGAACTACCTCCCCATCTCTTTGAAGTGGGGAGTTTTAAGTATAAAATTGTTGCTAATTTCTTGTATTCTACTGAAAGAATTGAACCATTTTACTAGTTTATATTTGTTCACCCTCATACTTGATAACAGTGAAGTAACCAGAGATGGACTACTGCTGCTTGGTGAGGTTGATGATTAGTGTAGAGGTAGAGGGTAGAGTATAATTTTGACACATAGGGTAACATGTTGGGGAAAAAAAAGAAAACTTTCTTAATCTGCTATTGTTTTCTATTTTGTTTCTTTTATCTTGCACTGCATCTCAAGCCCACCTTAAACTCTGAGTGCCTTGCCTCACCCTCCTGAAAGTTTAGCATTCTATGTATGAGCTACAACATGTAATTAAGTTTATGTATTACATTTTATAAATGGAAACATTACTAGGATAGAAATAAGTAAAAGTCAAATGACCTTTTAAATTTAAAATTACATTTATATAGCTTATTTGAAATACTAAACTAGGGAAAAATGCAAGAAGAGTAATATTAATGGAACAAAATTTTTAACAAATCATAATATATGGTGATAAGTAAAAATCACAAATGAAGCTTTCTACCAGTAGTACAAAAAAATCATACCAGCATACTTTAACATATTAATAAAGGAAATGCATATCTTAGTAGATTCAGAAAATGATGCATAAAAATTCATATTCATAAATACCCTGTGAAAGAAATTTGTTTATCTTAATAAAGGAAACCTATAGTTTAGATTTTATTCTTCTGTATGTATGTATCCAGTTTTCTTAGTTTCACTTGTTGAAAGGCAATTTCTTTTCTAGTGTCTTTTTTTGGCATGTGTCAAATACTAAGTCACTGTGGCTGTATCTGTGAATTTATTTGTGGGTTATCTATTCCACTGGTCTATGTGGACAGTCTCATATACATTTAGTCACATGAGTTAGCAGTCATAGTCCTAGTTGTTTATTTGAGAATGAGTGAAGACATGGTGAGAAGAGTGAAATAGTGATTGTGAATATGTATAGGTTGTAAACTATTAGGAATATCACAAAGACTTTGCAGTACAAAATTTGTAATTATTTGCAAATTCAAAAGCTTGCTTATGCCCAGATGTTGAGGCCCATGCCTCTAATCTTGCAGTTGAGAACCCTGAATTTGGAGCCATTTTGAACTATGTAGTGGGAAAGAACTTAGAGGTAAAAAGCTTAGGAGGAAGAAAGGACATTTACTGGACACTGACTTTGAGGGATTGGGTTAAAATAGGAATATTGTGTTGTTAAAGGTGAAGAGATCAAATATGTCTACATGTGCTAGAAAGGGAATATATAATTCAGCATACACATATGCATGGTTGGTAACCTGGCAGTTTTCTGGGTGCTTCATTTGTTTTAGCTTAGTAAACAGAAAGAATATTCAGTGTAAGTGAAAATCAGTACGGGGTTTGTGAAGGATGTAAGAGAAAAACACACTACTGAAATACAGTGTCTGAAGATTTCTGTTCTAGTAAGACCAAAAACAACATGGAGAGAAAGAGTTTTATTTCAGCTTTTACCCGTTCCACATCAAAGTCTGTCATTGAAGGAACTCTGGGCAGGAACTGACGCAGAGGCAGTGGAGGGGTACTGCTTACTGGATTGCACTGCCTACCTTCTCATCTCACCTGGGACATCCAGCCCAGGGGGTGGCAGCACACACAGTGAACTGGACCTTCCCACATCAATCATCAATCAAGAAAATGCCCTGGGGCTAGAAAGATGGCTTAATGGTTAACAGCATTGCCTGCACTTCCAGAGGACCTGGTTCAGTTCCTAGCACCCACGGTGGTTCATGGCTGTCTGTGGCTCCAGTTCCAGGGGATCCGACACCCTCATATGGACATGCATGTAGGCAAAGCACCAATGTGCACATAAAACAAAAGTAAATCATTTTAAAAAAAAGAAAAGAAAATGCCCTACAGGCTTGCTTACTCAAAGGCCAGTTTGGTGAAGACATTCACTTGAAGTTCCCACTTCTCAAATGATTCTAGCTTATGTCAAGGTTACATGAAACTAGCCAGCACATATGCTATATTATATAGTAGGAGAATACTAGAAATTAGAATGAAATTAGAAATTGAAAGTATGTTAGGGAAATACATGATTGACAAATAGAATTAAAACTAGCCTGATATGTATGATTATGATTTAAATAAGATACATGGTTTTATATGTTTATCTAGACATGTTAAGCTGTGTAAGTGCAAACAGAGTAACTGGAGAGTTGGATTTAAATAGGATTGTTGTTTTGCCAAACTAAGAAGAATGCAGTAATTGAAATGGGAATATTGGAGAAATCAGTAAACTAAAAAATTTTCTAAGTGACCTGAGAGTCAGTAGATTTACAGCCATTTCATTTACAGTGAGAGATTTGTGAATGGAGATGGCAGCTGACTTCAACTAGTCTGCTGCTGGGTAGTCTAAGTGAGGTGAGAAAGTAGAGGTTATCGCTGGAGAGCTGGAGGAGAAACAGTGTCCTCAGATAAGGACCTGGTTTCCTTAAAGCCCAAGCTAAGGGTAATATTTACATTTTTAATAATTGGAAAAGTTAGAGGAATAATAATAATATATCATGATGTGAAGTAATCTGAAATCCAGATTTCAGTGTCTATAAATAACAGCTTTATTGGAACATTGTTGTGCTCAGCTTTTTTTGTTTTGTTTTGTTTTTCAGACAGTTTCTAATTGTTAACCAAGCTGGCCTTGAACTCAGAAATACACCTTCCTCTGATTCCTGAGTGCTAAGATTAAAGTGGTACACCACTGCACCCAGCACCATGCTCAGTTTTTAATGCCTCATTTGTGGCTGCTTTTGTGCTACAGTGGTTCAGTTGGATAGTTTGTTTTTTTGTTGTTGTTTGTTTTGGGTTTTGTTTGTTTGTTTGTTTGTTTGGTTTTTTTTTTGGTTTTTTGAGACAGGGTTTCTCTGTGTAGCTTTGGAGCCTATCCTGGCACTCACTCCGGAGACCAGGCTGGCCTCAAACTCACAGAGATCCGCCTGCCTCTGCCTCCCGAGTGCTGGGATTAAAGACATGTGCCACCACCCGGCTCAGTTGGATAGTTGTAACAGAGACCGACCATACATAGCCTTTGCTTATGCAGTGTGGTGTAAATCATACTGATATAATTACAAGTTGTATTTTAAGTGCCACATGTATCACATTTTACCTTTTTAGCTCGTATCTATTGTGTTCAAACAAGAATAGAAAAAATGTACTTTAAATGTCCTTTTGAGGCATGCTGTTATATTATCAAGTTAGCTGGTAACACATTTTTATTGTGCAGTTGACAGATCAGCTGTGCTAAAGAATACAGTATCCAGTGATGATATCAGACTGAATACCAATACTCCCAACTCAGAGGACAGCAATAGTTACATGAGAACTTAAAGTGGAATAGTCTCATCATAGTAGAATTTCTTACAAAAACAGAAAGTAAACTTATAAAATAAGTTTACTGCAAACTTATAAAATAAGCTATTGGCTTATCATATAGCTAAACAGAGGAAGTTATTCACTAATGGTATGTTATTAACAGCAACCAAACAAATATGAACAGAGAAAGAACCACTTGCTTAATACTGTTAGCTTTGGGGTAGAGTGCTTGCCTAGCATGTACAAGGACCTGGGTTCAGTCCTTGCCTGCCACCAAAATTAGAATTTGGACGAAAACAATTGCTCAAAGAATTAAGGAAAAGAAAACAGCTGCTATATTTTTTAAAGAATCAGTCTTGGGTGAGGGGGGTCTTTGCTCTCCCTCCCCTCCTTTTGGTTGTGTGAGTCCCTTGTGTAATAGCCCAAGCTTGGCCTGAAACTCAATCCTTTTGCCTCAGCCTTTCAAGTGCTGGGATTGTAGGCATGTATTACCATGCTCAGTTTGGGCTTCAGTTTGAGGTACAAATGTACCTTAGCAGTTATTCTATAGGTATCTTCTGACCATGTAGACTATAGAAAGTTTGGTCTTATTTCCTTTATAATGTACATTATAAAGTGAAATGAACATAACTGCTTACTTATTTTCTCTCTAGAACAGTGGTTCTCAACCTTTGCTTTGGTTCATTGCCCCTTTGGGAATTGAACCACCCTTTCACAGGGGTTGCCCCAATAAGAACAGGGGAAAACAGAGTATTTATATTAGGGTTCATAACAGTAGCAAAACTACAATCATGAATTAGCAACAAAGTAATTTTATGGTTGGGGTTACTACAACATGAAGAACTGTATTAAAGGGTTGCAGCATTAGGAAGGTTGAGAACCACAGCTGTAGAACATGGCCTGCCTATGCCAGGGATCCTATTTCTTCCCACCTTTAAGAATAGTGTGTACTACGTAGTGACAGAGTAAATATTTGTCTTACATATGATATCCTTAATTCTTAACCTCAGATCTGGTTCCTTTATAAGTTTGTCTATGTTTTATAAGATGCTGTATAGCCCCATCTCCATTTTTCTTAGTGCTACTATGAAATGATACTAGGGGGAAAAATCACTATGCTAATCCTTAATGTTTTTCCTGATTACTCATACCCTAATCTTGGTGTTTGGGTATTAATTATAATTGTTATAATCTGATCACATGCTGGTGATGAGAAGTAACAGTGGGTTTTAGGGTGTTAGTGTGATATAACTATAGAGCCCCCAAAGATTATTTATATGTAAAGGTGAAGATAAATGACTAATAATGTGAGAGGGAATAGTTTATCTTGGATTGATACTACACAACTATGTTAGAAAACATAGAATTAAAATTAAGAAGGGCCAGATGTAGTGGTGCAGAGGTAGGTGGGTTTCTGAGTTTGAGGCCAGCCTGGTCTATATAGTTCCAAAACACACAGAGCTGAAGTATTGAGACCCTGTCTCAATCCCCATCTGGCCCCCCAAAAATAATAAATAAAAATAGGAAGGTGTTTGCATGTAAAACAAATGGGACTATCATACTGTTTTTTTCTTGACTATTAGGGAAATTTCAGTGAAAATCAAGCCTAAGTTTCCTGTTGATGGAGTTTACAGATCCAGTAAAATCCAGTCATCTAAGATAGGTTTGGAAAAATCTTCTATTGTGTGTACTGTTGTCTACTTCAAAAGAATCATAAATAGCATCCCTCCACCAAGGAGTGCTTTGTTGAGTTTTTAAATCCTGAGATAAGGTGGGTAAGTAGTCCCAAATTCTGCAGGTTAGACTTTACTGTTTAAGTAAGTCTGTGCTTAGTTCTAGATTGAACTCTTGGTGAAGTGATATAGGGTAGCTAGGGCTGTAGAAAACTTAAGTTTGTTAGAACTGTTGGCCAGCAGACCTTTGCACTTGGTAGGATGCAAGCATGTGCTAGGACAAGCAAAATGTCAAGGAACTAGGAGGACCTATTTATTTCAAATGTTTTGTTTGCCAGTTTTCTCAAGATTTGCAACCTTTTTTTATGGTTCTACTCCTCTTATAACTAGAGTCTGGGATACTTTCTCAAGTGTCACTGGCCATTCTAAAACACAACCCCAGCTTAGGATTTTTTTAATTTCTCATGTGAAATGTTAAAATGCTCTTAAAATTCTCCCACTCCAGTCTTATCCTTACTGAATTTATCATTAACACCCTTCAGAGTAGTTTAGGTAAAGTGTAGATTTGATTTTGCTTATTTATCTGAGTTTCTTTTTACAGCTTCCAACCCATGCTAGTAGTTGTTGTTATTGTGCTTTGGTTTTTATATATTGAGTTTCAGAAACCTGTAATCTGGAAAACAAAACAAAACTTCCTATTATTAAATGGTAGCTTTTTTCTTTTATTTTCCTTGCTTGCTTCTTTTCCTTTTTCCTTTTTCTTGTTTTGGCTGGCCTAGAAGCTCACTGTGTAAACCAGGTGCCTTTGAACTCACAGAGATCTGCCTGTCTGCCTCTGAAGTGCTATTAAAGACATGTGTCACTATGCCCAGCAAATAATAATTTCTAACTACTGATTTACAGGCAAAACTCAGGCTCCTTAACCAGATTGGGGCTCCCCAGCCTCTTCTGCCACTTTAGGAAAAACATACTAGTCTAGCAACTAAGCCCTTGTGTACACAGTTTGACCACTCCATCACTTAAATGTTCCGTCTCCGTGATCTCTCACATGGCTAACAACTACTTTTCATTTCAGGTGTCATTGTCCCTAGAAAGTTTTTCTAATCCTTTCTCTCCAAGACAGGCTTTAATTAGTACTTCAGAAACCCTGCTTATCTCTTTTATACTGTTTTGAATTAGATTTTTCATTGTTTCATTCACTACCATTTGACCCTTTAGAAACACTAACAATGTTACCAGTTACCTTTCCATATCTCTAGTGATTACTTTAGAACCTCATGTAGAGTAGGCACAAATTACTTGTGTAAACGATTGGTTGAATATTTATCTGTATCTCTGTAGTGCCATCACGGTACTGTGACCTAGGAAGTTTATATATTTATCCTTGCATAGAAATTTATTAACATTGCATGTGTCTGTTGATCATAATTTACAACAATATTTAAGTTTAAACATATATTTTAACAGGAAGGCAAGAATATTATAGCTACCTTTATTAGAAACTAAAACTTTAACAATTTTTTATGTGTATGGACAACACTGAAATATGAAGCATTTCCATGCAATCTCATACCAGTGTTGATCCATATGGATTAAAATAGCCCTATTTTAATCTATGACCAAATTAGGAGCTAGACTATCTTTCCAGTGAGGATTTGTAAATTATTGTCATCAGTAACATGACAGGTTTGTTTAATTTCAGTAATCTCCACTGCATGTTTCAAAGTCTAGCTTAAGATTAATACTGTAAGTACTAAGATTGCCAGCTAGAAATTTAATTTTAATTCTTTAGTACATAGGTCTTTGATATGTTGAATTTGTATTTTTTTAAAGAATCATCATAAATGACTTAATAAACACAGTTTTATTTCATTGTTGTAAAAACATCTACCTATGTTTTCTAAATCAAATCTGATGTTTCCCTAAAATGCCAGAAATCAATTAAAATTAACTAATCATATTATTTTTGATGCAGCATTTATATTCAGCTTGGGGATGTACCTTAGTTGGTAAAATATACTTGCCTAGTGTAAATGGAGCCTTTGGTTCAACCCCCAGAACCACATAAACTTTGGATACATGAGATACTATTTTTAAAAATTTAAAAGGCACAGTAGTTTTTATATTTATAACTTGATGTCATTAGATTTTTATAAAAACTTTTGATATAATAATGAAATCATTACAGAATTTATTTGAAACAGTTCTTAGCATAGCAAATTTCTCTATTTTATAAGTTTAGATTTTACATTTGTCATTTATTTCAAGGGATAGAGTGCTGGAGCTAAACACAGAGCCTCATGAGGCAAGCACTTAACCACTGATCCATCCCAGCCCTAACTTCTAATGAAGAGTTGTTATTGCCTTTTTGTTGTGCTTTTCAGTCATTTGATTGTAAAGTAAGTAGTGTTCAGTACAATACTTTGGTGTCTTAATTATATTTTTTATACAGATAAAGACACAATAAATAAAATTAGAGATTTACGGATGAAAGCCGAAGATTATGAGGTAGTGAAGGTGATTGGCAGAGGTGCATTTGGAGAAGTTCAATTGGTAAGTTACTAAGAATTTTTATAAACAACTTTTTAAAAGTGAAAAACAAAACACTTGCCTGTTTAACAATCTTTGCAAAAATAATTGTTTTCATAAAACCTTTTCTTTAAATGGCATGCCTAAGGCATGAAAACCTTGGGTCAGATCTGGAGGTAGTAGGGAAGTGTTTTCCTTAAGCATTTCAGTAAACATCTCATGTCTCACAGGAAACTCCTTTCTAGAATTCTGTGGAATAAAGTTTTATGAACAGGGCAACATACATGATGGGACAGATTATGGGAAATATAAGGAATAGAAGATTTATTTATATTTATAACATTACTTGTGGTAATGAAGGTCCTGATACTAGTTAATTGGGATAAGTAAACAGAAACAAAGAAACAAAAACAACCACATTATTTAGTAAGTATTAAAGCCATGTTGTAAATTGTTCAGCAAAACATTGAGCTTTAAATGTTAACCAGTGGCTTGTTTTCAATTTTAAGGTAAGACATAAATCCACCAGGAAGGTGTATGCTATGAAGCTTCTCAGCAAATTTGAAATGATTAAGAGATCTGATTCTGCTTTTTTCTGGGAAGAAAGGGACATTATGGCTTTTGCCAACAGTCCTTGGGTTGTTCAGGTATGGTTTTGATCCTGTTTTCTTAATGTTGTACTAGTTTGTAAAAAACATGTCTGAGACATTTATTTTTTTAGAACAGTAATAATTTATTGGTGGTTATAAAATTGTCTAACATATCACTAATTTTGAAGTCATGAATTTTGTTGCGTTATCTTTGGAAAGTTCAGAACAAAATAATTGTTTTGTTTTGTTTTTGTAGAATTTAATCTGCTTTGATTTAAGAAATGTAATTTCTGTCTTAACTTTAGGGTGTGTGTGTGTGTGTGTGTGTGTGTGTGTGTGTGTGGGTGTGTGTGTGTGTGTAAACATGAGGTCCTCATACCTTTTTAACTTCCTAGTCATGTAAATGTCTCTTTTATTGAAGTAAGAGAGTGGGGACATAAGAAGATTGAGTTTCACTAAGGCCCAAATAACACTGTGTTGGCCTTAAGTTTTTAGTGCCAGGGAACACATACCCCAATGTCAACATGGTGTAGCACAGCCATGGCCACAATACTGGAGGCAGAGGCACAAGGTTCTGGAGTTCCAGGGAACACCCTATCTCTAAAAGAAATACATAAGTTCTAGTAGTATTGATTGCCATTGGCCAACTTATTTAAAGTTCATGGGTCATGAATTTCCTTGCTTATAAATATGAAGCTGTCTTTAAGATCTTTTTGATCTAGACAGGATCTTATGCTAGGCCTCATACTTTTGTGTAGCTGAGGATAGCTTTGTACTCTGAGCCTCCTGCCTCTACTTGCTGAGTGCTGAGGTAATAGGTACATGCAACAAATGCTTATAACCAGTGAACCATCTCTTTAGCTCCCATATTTTAAATTTGAAGTCTCCATTTTTTGTCACCTGTGTATATCAGGGTTTCTTAGCTTCAGTATTACTAACTTTTTGTGCCAGGTAATACTTCTTGTCCTTTTTCTTTTGTTTTTGAGGAAAGGTCTCACTGTGTAACATTGGTGGCCTGGAATCCTATATATTGGTAAGGCCAGCCTGAAACTGGTCATTGGAGGCATATGTTGGAGTTGATAACTCCTGAAAAATGGATGCTTAGTATTATTTCTGTTAAAGATTTAGATATCTTCAAGTTTTATTTTATTTATTACATTGTATGTAAGTAAGGTAAGCTGCAACCAGAATAACAATGCTTCTTTAATTATGGTACTCAAGTGAGAAATTATACATTTACTCTGGGGTAGTCATGAATTAATGCTTTATTTCTCATCCTTACTCCTAAGTTTAGTTACTTTTAATTTCATGATCCATGGGCATATATTGTATGAGTGTTTGTGTGTGTGCGCAGGTGCATGTGCATTTGTTGAGGCAGGATGAGAACTAGTGCCATTTGCCTTCCTCCTTTGAGACAGGATCTTTCATTGATGCAGAATGCGGCTGGCCAGCAAGTCCCAGCTATCCTGTATCCATCTCCCCAGCCTGGAGATTACTAGTGAATGCCCTACATTTTCACATGGCTTCTAGGGATCAGACTCAGGTTCTTGTGTTTGTTGAGGCGAATGCTTTACCAGCTGAGCCATTGGTCCCTGATTAGTTTTTAAATTAATAAAAGTGGGTAAAAGCATTTGTTCTTGAAAACTTGAAGACATAAGTTCAAATCCCCAGCACCAATGTCAGCAGTTAAGAGCACTTCCAGCTGTTCTTTTAGAGGACCCAGGTTTAATTCCAAGCACCCACATGGCAGTTCACAACCATCTGTAATGCTAGTTACAAGGGATCTGATTCCTTTTTTTTTGGCCTCTATAGACACTAGGCATGCATCTTCTGCATAGGCATAATTGCAGCAAAAATACACACACACACACACACACACACACACACACACACACACACTGACTTGGATGCAACAACATGTGCCTGTAGCATAGCACTGGGGGGGATAGATACAGGCAGATCCAAAGAGCTTGTTGACTGGCAGCCTGGATGAAACAGCAAGCTTCCAGTTCAGTGTGAAAGCCCATCTCAGTGCTGAAAGTGATAGACGATACCCAGTGTCATGATCTGACACCAGCATACTAAATGTAAATCCACCACATTGAGCACAGACATGTCACATAAAAAACACATAAAATCAATTGAAGCAAGCCTGTTACTAAAATGATTAAATGCTATTGAGAAAATGAAATGTGAAGGCTTTAAGACATCTATGTAAGTCTGGTGGTGTTTTGTTCTGAAATAGTGTTTACTGAAAAACTGCTTTTTTCTTTTTTTTTAACTTAAGCTCTGAGCACACAATAGATTTATTCCCAATATTTTACGGTTTCTTGCTAATGATTTTGGTCTTCCTTCTAACAATCCAAAAAGATAGTTGTTGTTAGATGCACTCCAAGTTAGAGGTTATGTTTATTTATTTATTTTTGTTTTTTGGGACAGTTTCTCTGTGTAACAATCCTAGCTGTCCTGGAACTAGCTTTGTAGACCAGGCTGGCCTCGAACTCACTGAGATCCGTTTGCCTCTGCCTCCAAAGTGCTGGGATTACAAATGTGCTCCACCACTGCCTAGCAGAGGTTATGATTATTTTGTTCATTAAAAATGTGTTAAATTTTTTTCAGCTGCCAGGCATTTAGATACTAGTTGAGAATTAGGTTTGCCAAGTAAAATCAATTTACAGTCAAAAACTGTGATCAGTCAGAAACACGGAGAGGTTAAGCAAATTTCCAGAGCGAGGCAGCTAATGCAGAACAGTTAAGCCAAAGCCAAGTTCATGAGACCTGAGAGTTATAATGTTCATTTTAAAGTTAACAGTAAACTCTCATGTGCATGTTAAAAAATAGAAGTACAATATTTCATTGCTTAAGAAGTTTGTCCTTGTTGGAACTATTATAAAAACCTTTCAGTATAAAAACTTAGAGCTATAAAATGACTCCCGTTGCCTCTATGGAATATTTAGTTTATAGCTCTTTGGTGTGTGTGCATAGGATCCTTGTGGTGTTTATGTTTGCCCTAAGAATTGACCTGCACTTAAAGCTGTCCTATAGTTCAACCATTTACTTCCATCTTATAGTAGTATTTTTGTTAGGTATTAATATGAAAACAAAATGTTCCAAAAATTATTTTAATTATTTTTCTTTTAATTTGTAGCTTTTTTATGCATTCCAAGATGATCGGTATCTCTACATGGTGATGGAATACATGCCTGGTGGAGACCTTGTAAACCTGATGAGCAACTATGACGTCCCTGAGAAATGGGCACGATTCTATACTGCAGAAGTAGTTCTCGCATTGGATGCAATTCATTCCATGGGTTTTATTCATAGGTAAAGATAACAATGCTTTTAGTTTCTTACTTTTTGAAAGGAGTAGTGAAAGAGAACTTAAACATCACTTGATTAATATTTTCTATTCCTGGCCTACTTAATTTCTCCCCTATGACACAGGTGGCATGTTAGAATTCTAGTGCATTTAGCTTAATCTTGTTGTAAATATATTCGTTAATAATGTTAATCTAGTTTTATAATTTTTATATCATGTATTAAAAGGTGAAAACTATTGCCAGGCATGGTGGTGCACGCCTTAATCACAGCACTCCGGAGGCGCAGAGGCAGGTGGATCTCTGGGAGATCAAGGCCAGCCTGGTCTACAAATTGAGTTCCAAGACAGGCAGCTAGTGCTACTTATTACACAGAGAAGCCCTGTCTCCAAAAACTAAACATAAAATAAAAATTGTAAAGTGGTTTCCAAAAGTTATGTGATGAGTATTACTTTATTTTAATTTTTATTACCATATTACACATAATAGGTTTGTTATGTTTTTACTTCTGTTTAATGTATTTTGATCATATTCATCACCTGTTACCCATTCATGTCCTGTTCCTACTGATCTTCCTGTAGCCAACTAATCTCCCTTGTACTTTAGTATCTTTTTTCTTCCCTGTGACTTTAATTTGGGTTGCTTACAGGAGTGTGGTTGTGGGGTCATTTTCAGGAACATAAGGATTTAGCAGTGGCAATGCCGCTGAAGGAAATGTCTTTCATTCCCTAGGCAAACATTGGTGTTTCATTTGCCTTCTGTGTATAGATGATACGCATTTTTTTACTGAAGTTACTGATTTTATCATAAGAATCAAACTGTGAGCTACACACAGAGACCCTGTCTCAAAAAAACATAAAAAAGAAAAAAAAACTGCATTTAAAAACAAACAAACAAAAACCCAGTACGTAAAGGAGTGTTTTGATGCACTTGAGTCTCTGGGTGTGAATAAGAGCACATACTGATTTAGGTTGTCTCATGTAGGTTAAGGGGACTTGGTCTGAAGTACCTGCTTCATAGCCTTTGTCAGTGTCTGATCTGTTTCAGTAATACTCTGTTGTTTGTTTTTTCTCTCACTCAGAGATGTAAAGCCTGATAACATGCTGCTGGATAAGTCTGGACATTTGAAGTTAGCAGATTTTGGTACTTGCATGAAGATGAATAAGGTTAATTTTTAAATTCTAATTTTGTTTTGTAATTCAAGATAGTATTTCCTTAAAAAATGCTGTTAAAAATTCACTAGCCATATCTGTATTTGTCCAGAATCAACAGGACCATATTTGTTGTTCTTGTTACTGTGGCTACAATGTTGTATTAGTAACTTGTCAGTGGTTTATTTTTCCCTCTCTATTTGGGGTAAATGTAGATTGCTAGATTTACTAAATCTTTCATAACAGCTTTGTCATATATATTACTGGTAAGTAGAAAGGGGAATTAGTGCAAATGTTACTAAATGTTAAAATCATAAAAATGAATTTCATATGTTTCAGAAATATTTTATGAATAATTGCTGTCTCTTAAAATATACAAGATTTTTGTGGTTTAAGAGTGAGTTGTGGGGCTGGAGAGATGGCTCAGAGGTTAAGAGCACCTGCTGCTCTTCCAGAGGTCCTGAGTTCAACTCCCAGCAACCACATAGTGGCTCACAACCATCCCTTATGAGATCTGGTGCCCTCTTCTGGTATGCAGATATACATGGAGGTAGAATGTTGTATACACAATAAATAAATAAAATCTTTTTTAAAAAGTGAGTTGTAAGACAAACTCATGTTCGCTATTTGTATAATAATAATTTATATGTATAGCTAAAAGAGGAAATATGCCACCTTTCTTAGTTTATAATGGCTTATTTATATTTTACAGCAATTAGAAATATATAGTTATCATTTTGAGATATTGATTAAAAGGAAAAGCTACATAAAAACTATTGTGTCAACATTTAGTTTTAATTCAATCGAGTAGGTAAAAATAAATATTTTTGGAGGAGGGCATTAAAATGCAGATTTTATAGTTATTCCATGGTAGCACTGTTAAGCCCTTTGCCTTACACATGCTGCTCAATTTCATTTCTGTCCAGCTAGCTTTTCCCTATTTTTATCACAGTTCTAGCACAGTCAGATAGTTTGGTTAAAATATGATGAAATCAGTATTTGTATGTTGTGAAATGCTTTGTTATATAATCCTGTCAATCTCTTTGCCTTAGTTTGGTCTCTGCAGTTAATCTGCAGTCATTATATTGGCAGTTAGAAGAATAAGAAATGTTGGCATCTAGTGAGTACTACTGTGAATAGTGTGTTTTGGTATGATATTACATAATTCAGTTCTTCTTTAGGCTATTTTAAATTGAAAACAATTAAATCCTAATCCAGGCTTGCTTCTCCTTTTAGGAAGGTATGGTACGATGTGATACAGCAGTTGGAACACCTGATTATATTTCACCTGAAGTATTAAAATCCCAAGGTGGTGATGGCTATTATGGACGAGAGTGTGACTGGTGGTCAGTTGGGGTATTTTTATATGAAATGCTTGTAGGTGAGTAAAGGAGCTGTGCGCGTGCGTGCGTGCGTGTGATCAGTGCTTTTGTGCCCTGATTTTTAAATTATTTTATGTGTATGAGTATTTTATCTGCAGTGAATGTTTTGTCTGTGTGCCATGTGCATGCCTGACTGTCCTGCAGAAGGTGGGGAATAGAGCTTGGGTCCTATGTAAGAGCAGCAAGTGTTCTTAACTGCTGAGGCATTTCTCCAACTTTTGTTTTGTGTAAGCATGTGATG